CTAGGGTGGAACAGCTCAGGCTGTCAGCAGTCACTCGAGCCCGGGAAAGTGGGGCTGTGAGTTCAGAGGGCACTGGCTCACCTACAACTGCACTCAGGAATTACTCCTGGCGGTGCTCAGGGGACCATATGGGATGCCGGGGATTGAACCTGGGAATTCGGTGTGTAAGTCAAACGCCCTCCCCGCTGTGCTATCACTATGGCCCAGGATATGGTTTCTCTCAGGGTTGAGGCTGGGCCTACACAGCCCTGGTCACTACCATCACCCACCTTACTCTGCATCATCGCATTGGTGTTCCTGGTGTCCTCCAGGGAGGCCAGGGCCTGCAGGGACGCCTCCCGCTCGGCCAGTAGCTCGGTCTGCTGCGCCTCCAGCAGCGCCTGGTCTTTCAGCAGCCAGTGCAGCTGCCGCTGGAGCTTCGTGGCCTTCTGGCCCAGCAGCTCCTTCTCAGAGCCAAGGCTGTTCAGCTGCTCACGCAGGGCCGACTCCACGCGGGCGGCCTCCTCCTTCTCAGCCGTGAGCTCCTCGATCTCTTGCACCAGCAACTTCTGATCCCGAGCCAGCTCCTCGTAGGAGCACTGCAGCTTCTGGATGATGTTGTCCTTGTCCTTGGCCAGGGATAGGTTCTCCAGAACCAGCTTCTTGACATGCTCCTCCAGCTGGCCCCTCTCCTCCAGGCCCTTCTTGCACTCGGCCACCAGGCTGCTCTTGCTCATCTGCAGCTCCTCCACCAGGGCCTGCAGCCCCAGCTTGGCGACCTGCAGTGCATCCTTCTCCGCGCCCACCCTCTGGAGCTCCTCCTGCACCGCCCTGCCCTCTTCCAGCACTTTCTCTTTCTCCGCCTCGAGGGCTTCTCGGTCCAGCCGCTCCTGCTGGCAGAGCTTCTCCGTGGCCCACCTGGCCTCGATGACCTTCTCCTTATCCAAGCGAATCGCTTGGTTCAACAGCCAGAGCTTCCTCTGCTCTTCCCGCAGTGAAGAGTTTTTGGCCTCCGCTTCTCTGTGTTTCAATTGAAACCACCCTCTCTCGGACTTCAGACAGCTCTTCTCCTTCGCCAGCAATTCATTCTCTGACCTCAGGGCCCTGCGATCCTCTGACATCAGCTCCATCTCTTCTTTGGCCGAGCTTAATAAGCAAGTTAAGGACTGCAGAAACAAAAAGCGGGGAAGAATGGAAACAAGAATGAGATCAAGCAGGCACACGCAAGCCAAGCACTTCATGTGGCCTAAATACCAGAAATGAAAATGGCAGAGTAGTCTTACCTGCACACGCGTGTATACGCACACGCGCACACACTCACACACACACGCACACACAGACTCAGGATGGAGAGGCTCAAACACAGTTAGCTTCTTAGCGTCAACATAACTACCTGCCTATTTTGTGGATGGGGGCCCCACACCTGCTGGTGTTCGGGTCTCGCTCAGGGTTCTGTGTTCAGGGATCACTGCTGGCAGGGCCGGAGGACCATACGGGATGCTGGGGATCAACCCCGGGTTGGCGAGTACAAGGCAAAACCCTACCCATTCTACTATCAACCGATTTGATTTTTGAAATGCCGTCTGAAATGATTCCTGACAGCTTCCCGGAAGGTGTAAGTACAGTTGGATCTTGACATTGGGGCATAAGATTTTTCCCCCCACTTCAATTCTTCTATTATAAAATCCATCACTCTGTCCTAGAAGGGATGCATTCAAAAACTAGTTTTCAATACAATTCAAAGAACTACAAAAAGTATTTTGTTTTGGAACTTTGTGCAGGAGGGGAAGGGAAAAGCAACCACTGCTTGTCAAACGATTTTCACAGGGACAAACAGAGGCAGGAAATGGACTTAGTCCCAAAAGTTATACACTTTATAGAAAATCCAGACGAATCCACCAAGCTTTGGAGACTGAAGCCAACAGTTTTTGCTTGCCAAACACAGTAACAAGTCTCAAAATGGAGACATTAGTGGGCCCGCTCGAGCCAATCGATGAGCAATGGGAGGGCAGTGTTTGCAGTCATTTGGGAGGGGCCCAGGGGCTCCAGGAGGACTGGCCGCACATGGGTCAGGGTCTCCCTCACCTGCTCTCCCTGCCCGTCAGCAACGGGTTGTGCGTTTTCATTTCTGAGTCTCAATGCACACCACAGTTGAACCGCCATGTACTTTCCAGAACTTTCTGCAGCAAGGGCTATCTTCTCTGTCCAGCTCAGCAGCCATGAGCCGCAGCAGGCTACTGGTGTGTGCTGGGCAGCTGACCGCTGACGGCCATGTTACCGGAATGGGACTGACCTGAGCATGCACACGAGGCTGCTGGCCACAGAACTGGGCCAGCAGGTGGTCCAGAGAGGAGACGTAGCCCTGGCTGCGGTGCGCGGTGGAAAGCGGCCGGGTACCAACACACACACGGGCCACGGCCGCCATCAGCCGCGGCGCTGCCCTGCGCCCACCCACCTTGGCCTTGTCGGCTTGCGTCTTCAGCTCGGCCACCTCCCGCAGCAGGCTCCCGTTCTCCGCCTGCACCGCCTGCAGCTTCTCCTTCGCCTGCAGCAGCAGCTGCTGAAGGGCCTGCGGCGCCTCCTCGTGCTGCCCCTGGATCTCCACGCTGGCCTTGGCGTGCTCGGCCTGTAGAGCCTGGCACTGGCTGCGGCTCACGTCCGCCTTCTCCTCCTGTGGGGAGCCGGGGGCCACCGTCAGCCGCCGGCCCCCTGCCCGCTCCCAGCACACACGCACACACACGAACAAACACGAACACACACACACAACGCAAACACACAAACATACACACACGCACACACACGACCCCTCTGCTCTGCTCACCAGCATGCACACAGAAACACACATGCACACACACGCGCGCACACATGGCCCCTCAGCTCGGCCGCTTTCGTTCAAGTTCTCCTGAAGACTACGAAGCGCTAGCCCCTTCCCCTGCAGCTCTTCGGCCAGGCTATCGGCCTACCAGAGTCACAAGGATGGAGTGAATGGACCAAGGAGACAAACAGGAACGGGAAGGGGAAAACAAAACAGAAAACACGTATGAGAAGCCCATGACCCAACACAACCCCGAAGAACAGAGGAGTGAGGTAAGCGTGATTGCCTGAAGCTCATGAAGCCAAGGCCTTGGCGCCGGCAGTTCTGGTGATGACTGTCTAGTGGTTATTGAAAACGGCCCAAACAGAGGCGTTTTCTAGACCTAACTTTGGCGTGACCAGAAAATAAGAAAGCCTATGAGAAAGACTGACTTTCCAGGGCCGGGGAGACGGCACAAAGGGCTGGAGTACACACCAGGCCCGAGTTGGAACTGCAGCACCACTGGGCGAGACTGAGATCGGTCCCCAAGCTGAAAAGCCCCACTACTGCTGGGCGGGAGGACCCCAGAGCCCAGAGCATGGCTTGGCGAGGAAGAAGGAAGTAAGCAAGGGAGGAGGGAAGCTAAGGATAGGAAGGAGGGAGGGAGGAAACAGGGAAGAAAGGGAAAGGGAGGGGAGGGAGGGAATTAAAGGTTATCTTTCTTTTTCCTTTTGGCTTTTTCGGTCACCCTAAATGCTCAGAAATTTCTCCTTGGCAGTAACCCGGCCAGCTCACCGAGAGTATCTCGCCTGCACAGCAAGCCTGCCAAGCTCCCCGTGATGTATTCGATATGACAAACACAGTAACAAGTGTCACAATGGAGACGTTACTGGGTCCGCTCGAGCTAATCGATAAACAACGGGAGGGTAGAGACAATGACAGTGACCCTATGGGATGATGGAGATGGAACCCACGTGGGCCGCGTGCAAGGCAAATGCCCTTCCCACTGTACTATCACTCCGGCCCCCAAGATTTACTTTCTTGTAGTTTCTTTTCTGTGACTTTAAAAGTTTGAGGGGTTTCAATATGAAATTTAAAATGAGGGACCTCTAATCCCCTAGACAGCAGTCACCCGAACTTGACGTTTGTTACATATTGATGCGAACAAGAGGGTCAGCTATCCCCTGCTCTGTCCTAGGAATTGATTCCATTTGTTTCAGCCGGTGTTTCTGGAATGCCAGCCAAGGAGTCCTGAGTCCTGAAGGGAACTCCCAGGGATCTCGGGGCCCTTCTGTTATGTCTGTCAGTCCTGTCTACAAAACCCACAGCCCTTCCATCTTGGCCAACAGAGAAGTTTCTCCAACAAAGTGCCCAGCGCGGGGGGGAGCGGGGGGGGGGGTGAGGGCACGTCCCTACCACCACAATCCTATAGGAGGAAAAGGGCATCTCTCGGGGCTCCTTGGTGAGAACTGCAGCTTCCTCGGCTTGGCCCAGATCTCACTGTCTCGTCCTTCCCCAGGGTCAGGGCTACCATGAGAGTCCATGCCTGTGGCCAGCAGGGGGCCATGCTGGAAGGCGGACTTGGCCCAAGCACCTGTTAGAGGCTGAAAGGGATGAAATCTCTGCAGGGCTGGCCGGGGGCTTGTGCTGCAGGGACGGAGGGGCTGGCAATGAGAAATACCAAGATGGGCCACGTCACCAGCCTTGAGGGAGCTCAGAGGCTCAGAGGCATCGAGCACCAGCTGGGAACTGAGGCGCCTCGGGGAGAGGAGGGCAAAGCCCGTCACACGAGCAGGTGGTCAGCAAGGTCAGGGGAAGACCCTCGCGGCCTGACTCGAGCCCAAGTGTCTGGGCGAACTCGGCGAGTATGCAGCGAGCCCAAGAGGTGGGGGGCAGAGGTTTGCTCTGGGGGCTCCTATCTTGTTTTCTCACTGGCCTGGTGAAGAATTCTCTGTTTCAGAAAGACCCCAGACGGGCCCGATTAGCCGGGGCCAAGGCTAGCACGGCATCCAGGTGCTGGGGACCAATGACAACCCCCGAATCATGCCGACTCCTTCTCAGTCCCCTCAGAGGGAACCGCACGGGACGTGACCGGGAGACCTGTCAGCACCAAGCCGGAACACGGCGGCGAGCAGACTGACACACAGCATGCAGGGAGCGAGCGTGGAAGTGGGCGAGGGCGCCCGAGTACCAACCTGCAGCTCTCGGCCCGCTTTGCATTCTCTAACTCCTGAATCTGCTGCTCAGCCACCTGGAGCTGCTGCCTGAGCTTCTCCATTCCCAATTGACCTTCGGAACTGGCCTTCCAGAGCCCATCGAGCTGCAAGAGCTTCTGCTGGGTGGCCTCCAGCTGTGCCGTGGCATTGGCCAGGGCCTGGGCTTGCTGACTACACACGGCCCGCAACCCGTCCAGGTGCTTTACCTTCGTCTCTGCCTCCTGCAGCTTGTTCAGGGCGTCCTCCATCTCCACCAGGTGCTGGTCCTCAATCTGCTCAAGCTTGGCCCGTGCGGCCTCCAGGCTGTTCTTCTGCTCCTGGGCCGTCCTGAACAGCCGCGACCTGAGCGTCTGTAGCTCGGAGGCTTGTGCTGCACGCTCAGCCGCCTGCTGGGCCTTCAGGCTCTCCACCTCCTGCTGGTACTCGAACTGTAGCCTCTCGATCTGCATCTTGAGCTCGGCCAGCTCGGCCGCCTCGGTGCCCACGCCCTGGCTCACGCATGCCTTCGGCTCGCCCATGGCCTGTTGGTGCGGGGCGATGGCCGTCTCCAGCTTGGACTTCCTCAGGGCGATCACGTCCGCGTTCTCCTTGTTGGCATGGTCCAGCTTGGCCCTCAGGCACTCGTTCTCCTTGGCGAGCTTCTCAGAGGCCACCTGCAGGGTCTTCACCTCCTTCTGGTGGGAAAACAAAATTTCCATGAACTTAAAACAGGAAGGAAAAGAAGCAGAAATAGAAATTTGTCTTTATCAAACTGACTGTTTGCTTCTTCTTGTTTTAAGGAAAAGCTTCCAAAAAATGGGGTTCTAAAGGATTTGATTTGTGCTGCTCGACTGAAAATCAAAGCTGAGGCAAAGGCATAGACCTGACTGTCAGAACGAGAGAAAAACGCTCATCAAGAGCAGCCTCCAGCCCCAAGGAGCAGAGATGTGTCAGCCGGGCCCTGCCAGGTGCATGACCCCAGGTATCCCTGTCTGATTCGGAGTCTCCAGCAGAAGTGGTCCCGGCGGGGTCGGCCAGGCCGCCCCGCATCCTTGCCTGCACCCTGCAAGCCTCCGGGACCTGCCCGGGCTTTACCTCCAGGTCGCCTTTGGTGATGGACTCCTCCTCGACTCGGAACTGGAGGTCTTCCACTTTCCTGTGGGGGAGAGGGAGACGTTGTGAGGGGCGTCACTGCTGCCCCCCATGAGGGCCACCATCTTGTAGATGCGCCTGACCCAGCCCCCGGCTCCACACACAGGAGGGCTGAGAGAGTCGGGGAGGGCCAGAGCGAGAGGACAGCAGGCAGGGCGTTTGTCTTGCACGTGGCCGACCCGGGTTCAATTCCCAGCATACCACTATGGACCCCGGAGCAATGCCTGGAGTAATTCCTGAGTGCCGAGGCAGGAGTAACCCCTGAGCATCGCTGGGTTGACCCAAAAAGAAAAAAAAGAAAGTCAGCGAGTCCCCTCAGCTTCGAGCACTGGGTGGGACCCGCAGGCTACAGGAGGAAGCTAGGCCGAGCCAACGCCAGGTGCAGTATCATATCAACCCTTTCTGCCTCGCAGCTAACAGAGGTGGTTAAAAACTGACCCGCGGCGCCTGTCAGTCCCTCCCAGCCAGCGCCTGTCTCCACATTGGGACAACAACTGAGCCCCTGGGGGAGAAGCAGCCAACGACTCGGGGGCGGGGAGAGGAGGGGCTCCCAGTGACTGTCGAGTCGGCACGTGGAGCTGAGGGGCTGAGCCAGGCACTGGCAGTGCCCCTGGGCACCACACTGCCGGGAGCCCATCTGAAAAGGCGGTCTCGGCCAGCACCCCGTGTCCATCTGTCTGCGGCCAGGCCTCAGCCCCGCGTCCGTCTGTCTGCACCCCGGCCTGAGCACCACGTCCGTCTGTCTGCAGCCTACCCTGAGCCCTGTCTGTCTGCTGTCGTGCCCCATGAGTACTGTGGGTTTCCTCCCGCCTGGGACTTAACCACAGGGACTCCCACAGGGCCCACTGGGTTAGGACAGTTCCTTGCCACCCAGCACAGGCCTCCTGAATACCAGGCCAGGTGGACACAGCAGGGAGGGCCGGGGGTGGCTTGGCTCCACTGAGCTCCCCCCCCAGCCCTCCCGGTGAGGCCGCGCTCAGGACTGGGCACCCGTTGGTTTCTGGTTCTCACAGCCCTGGAAGGCCAGGAGTGCCCCAGCCGAGGGAGCCCCCAGCTCCGGGCACGGCCTCACCTCTTCTCCTCCTCCAGCTGGTTCAGCAGCTCCACCTTCTCCCAGTCGGTCGCTTCCAGCATGGCCCGCAGCTCATTGTTCTTGGCCTCCAGCTCCAGAACGTGCTGTAGAGGCAATGGCGCGTGAGTGGCCTCGCCCGCCCCCAACAGCCCTCTGTGGGCTGGCATCGCCACCTGTCACCACGGCAAGCTGAATGGATCTCCCACCTAAGCTACGGCATTTCTGGAAGGCCAGAGGGGAACCACACCACGAAAGCACCGGCGCGGACAACTCGGCACTCCCTAAACCCCCACAGGGCGAGCAGAAGGCGCATGCGATCAAGCCACGCGCCGGACGCCACCGCAACGACGGCAGACGGGGACCCACGGCCTCTGCCTGCACCGCCTGCACCAAGCTCGCGCCCAGCCTCTACCGCAGGCGTCTCTCGGCCCCGGCACTGCCGTCTGCACAGACGTCACCTGGTCGTGCCCGTTCCGGCCAGGGCCAGCTCCTGCTCTATCTCCCCCATGTGGCTCGTGGCCTTGGCCACCTCCGCCCGCTCTAGGTCCCGCTCGGCCAGCAGCTTCTCAATGTGCTGCTGCTTCTCCTTCAGCGCCTCCTGGAGGGCGGTGGTGCCAGAGATCTTGTGGGCGTAGCGGGAGGAGGTTTCCGGCAACTGCAAAGGAAAAAGAGACGTGAAGGGGATGGGGCCGGCCGACACGGGCATGCTCGCGGTGATCCTCGGCAAAGCACATGGAGCAGTGCTGCATCCTTGCATATGGGCCAGCGACTCTCAGCAGAAACGTCATGAAACCTTCCCGAAGATCCTTGGACGGGACCTGGGCTCCACTGATCTCGGGCCTCGTGGGAATCCAGAGACTCTTCTGCAGAGCCGGAGGCAGCCCCCTCCACAGCCCGCTCTGGCCTGAGCTTCCTTAAGGCTGAGCCCTTGGCTTGAGCTTGAGGCCGGCTCCAGCATCTTCAGCCTTGCAGGTCCGTCAGGGTCTCCCTGGGCAGCCTGTCCCTTCTCTCTTCCTCTTCCTTCCAGCTCACCTCGCTCTCCCGGGCACCCGCCCCATGCCTGAATAGCAGTAACCAGAGACTCTTGTCTCTGGGAATGGCCCCGTGCCCCCAGGGGTCACTGGGTGTGACCCTATAAAAGACCCCTTTGCCATCTGCCTTCGAAAATGGGAGATGAGAGGCTAGAATGATAAACTTGCGGGAAAGGCGCTGGCCTTGCACGCCGCTGACCTGAGCTGGATTACAGGTACCCACCCCATAGGGTCCCGAGCCCACCAGGAGTGACTCCTGAGTGCAGAGTCCAGAGTAAGTCCTGAGTATTGCTGGGGCATGGCCAAAGTCCAGGGGAAAAAAAAGGAAAAAGTGGTGGGTTCGAATGTGTGAGGGCTCACGCCCAGCGAGCAGGACAGCAAGGGCAGCTCAGGGAAAGACCAAGCACAAAGGGAAGGAGAGAAGAGGCAAAGACAGTGAGGAGGGGAGGGGAGTGGGCTGAAGGGCTGCGGGGACCGGGGGTCCTGTCCGTTCTATCCTGGGCTCGTGGTCGCTCATGGTCGCTCTGCAGACCCAGATCCCTCTCTGCACAACGGCCCCTGCAGGAGGGGACATGGCGGGACCTGATCTTCATTCTTCGGGCACATGGTGGCGGGGGCTGCAGCGGTGATGGCCAGGACTTCCGCTCCTTCTGCCCGGCCATCCCTGTTCCATCGCCCTGCTGCAGTCCAGCCGCAGGTTCTCTTGCCGCTTCCCCGCATCATCTGAGCTGCTGCCAAACGCCTCCTGACCGACGGGCCCAGCAGGGCCCAGGCTGTCCACTGCTGCTTTGCCTGCTGGGAGCTCTCTAGCCACCTGGTTCTGTCCGGAGAGCGGGATCATCCTTGCCTGTGCGTAAGGACCTGGCCGTGATTTCCCGATACACTTAAAGTATATCTCGTCCGATTAAATGCCCTCCCCAGGGCCAAAGAGTCTGTTGGGGGGGTGGGGGAAGGTGCTTGCAGAGGTTCAAGATCCAGCACCATCAGGAGTGACCCCACCCCCCAAGCAGAGAGCCAGGAATAAGCCCTGAGCACCCCTGGGTGTGGCCCCAAAACCAAATAATAACTAAAATTTCTAGGAGCACACGAGCTCTCGGGCCAGCCATGTGCAGTGCTCCCGGGAACTGCAGTCAACTCGGATTTCAAGGGGTGGCTGGGAAGAGCTTGCCAGCCTTGGGGGTCTAACACCAAGACCCGGGCTCAACCCCCCTCCACCGGGAGCAGCCCCCAAGCACCACGCCTGGAGTCCCTGAGCACTGCCAGGTGAACACCAAAGAGCAAAAATAAAAACTAAGAAAGGCGGGCGGCGGTGTTCCCTGAGCCTCCTGGCCTGAGCGGGTGGGGCAGGCCAGACGCACGTGCTTCCTGGGCCCGAGACAGCTCCCTGAGGAAACCAGCACAGGAGCGATGGGCTTCTTTCAGCCAACTATGGAGACGAGACTGTGAGGTTCAGGCGCTGGAGCAGGGAGAAAGCAGCACCCCTAGCATGGGGGGAGGCGCGTGCTGAGGGGCTGGGCAAGGTCGGGGCCACGAGCTGAACTCAGGATGCTGATGCCAAAGCCTCTGCCCTGCGCGTGGTTTGTGAGGCCCCAGGCTCCATCCCAGCAAGGCCAGGCCTTCTGTGGGAGCCTGGTACCTCAGAAGAGCAACTCAGCCAACAGACGAACAGGGAGGCCTCCACAGGGCACGCACGGACCCGTGTGCATGTATGTATGCGTGCATGTATGTTCCGGTGGGCATATCTGCACGCACCTGTGTGCATGCGCGCGTTGTGTTTATGCATGTATGTGCCTGTGTGTGTATACCCATAAGCCTGTGTATATACGGTATGCACTACGTGTACATGTATGAGTGACTGTGTGTATGAACGCTTGTGTGTGCACTTATGGAATTATGTTGTTGAGGTATACTTCCGTGAAGTCACACAGAATCTTTCTATATTCCTGTCATAGACGCTAACGGTGATGTTCAGTTTAGGAGTGAGCTCCACCCTGCATAAAGATATGCAAGGCAGGGGCCAAAGAGCTGGAGAGCGAAGCCCCAGCGCTGCCCAGGCTCAATCCCGGAGGCCCGCCAGGAATAATCCCGAGCACAGAGGTGGGAGAAAGCCCTGAGCTCTGCCAAGTGTGACCCCAAAACAGAACCAAACAAGATAGCGGGGGGAGGCTGGAGATACGTCTCAGGCGTAGGGCTCTTGCTTGGAGGTGGGAGGCACCGGCAAAACCCCAGCACTGCAAACGGCCCCTTGAAGCACTGTAGGGTATGGCCCACAGTCAAGCAGAAAAACAAAACCAAATTCCACAAATGGGCTGGTTCGCGAGGGAAGGAGAGGGGCTTCTGAGTCTGCTCTCCTCCTAAATGGTGAGGCGAAGGGAAGGAGGAGTCGGACGTGAGGATACAGGTGGGGCAGGGAAACCTGGTGGTGGTCGAGCAAGACAGGACTGGCCCCAGGCCTGTGCCCACGGCGCGTGGCCTCCTGGCTCCCGTTCCCGTGTCATCTGTTTTGTATCTTCCGTTGCACACACACTCACTCCCTCCTCTTCCGCATCGAGGGTCAATGCACGGAGCAGAGGCGGCGGCAGGAAGCGCAGCCCCCAGCAAAGCCAGCCCCCCGGGACACCCTCTCCATCGTGGGCCCGTTTCCCTGTGGACAATATCTCAGGGCACCCTTGCATATTCAGACACACTTTAGTGTTTATGACTCAGATCGACATGAGAGGAGAAGCCACGAGGCCCCAGCTTTGAATTGCGGCACCGCAATGGACAGAAGTCGAGGCCACTCTGCATGTGGACAGCGGTACAGAGGGACAGGAGGGAGCAGGGAGAGACGGAGAGAGCAAAGAAGCAAGATGAAGGGCCAAGCGTTCCCCAGAGTCTCTGGGCCCTGCTCTGACCCTCAGGCGCCCCCTTCAGCTACCCCACTTCATCCCTAAGGTGGCCTGAGGCCAGAGAGTAGCCCTGAGCACCCCAGGAAAGGCCCATCCCTGCTCCTGTCACTGGTGGTGGCTGGGAAGCCACTCGCCTGCCACCCGGAGCTGCTCAGCCCACGTGCTCCTGCTCCGCCTCTCGCCCCTGGGGCTGTGGGAGTCTGTGGGGGCCCGAGCACCCCGCAGTGGTAGGGGGCTGCTTACTAGTCGCGTGCGGCCGGATCTGCTGCACTCGAATGAGGCCCCGGAGCTGACGGAGCTGAACGAGGAGGCCGAAGGGCTGCGCTTCAGGCTGGCGGGGGTGGTGGCCATCACATGCCTCACGGCGGCCACCTTGCCCTGGGCCGGCGTCGTGGACGGGAAGCCGATCTTGGTGACTTTGTGAATGGGAGCAAACAAGCCATACTTGGGCTGACACTGGAAGTACCTGCGGACAACGAGGAGGGGGGGGACAAAAACACCTTCGGCCAGAGACACAAGCGCCGACCCAGAAGTCCACTGAGTCCCACAGTCTCACACCCCCACAAACGAACACGCTCCCACAGCCCCACATGCCCACGCACTCACACCCCAACAAACACACACACACACGCACCCCAAACAACACTCCCACACTCTCACACTCCCACCCCAACAAACACACTCACACTCACACCCCAACCAACACTCCCACATTTCCACAGCGCCACACTCACACTCACTCCCCAACAAACATCATACCCTCCACCAGCCCACACTCACACACACTCACAACCTAACAAACACACACACACCCCAACCAACACTGCCACACATAAACACCACAACCAACACACACTTACACTCACACCCCAACCAACACTCCCACACTTCCACACTCTCACAGCCCAACAAACACACTCACACCCCAACCAACACTCCCATACTCTCACACTCCCACCCCGTCAAACACACACACTCACACCCCAACAGACACTCCCACATGTCCACAGCCCCACACTCACACACACTCACTCCCCAGAAACACACATACTCACACCCAAACCAACACACACTCACACTCGCACCCCACCGACACTCCCACACCCACACACACTCACACCCCAACCAACACTTCCACACACCCACAGCCCCACAGTAACACACACGCACACCCCAACCAACACTTGCACGCTCTCAAACCAACACTGACACGCTCTCATTCCCCCACAAACACGCTCACACCCCCACCAACACTCTCATGCCCACGCCCCCACCAACACTCTCATGCCCATGTCCCCACCAACACTCTCACAGCCCCACACTCACACGCTCACATACACACTCCCTCATACATTCACACCCACACTCGCTCGCATGCCGCCCACCCCCACCACGCAAACCAAGGGCGATTCCAAGCAGCCTCCCCGGCATCTGAAGGGTGACAGCAGGCCCGGGGGGTTCCTGCGGCCCGAGCACAGCTGCATATGGGGGCCCCAGGCTGTACCCACATCCCTGCAGGGTCCCCGAGTGCCACCGGAAGTGGCCCCGCCTAAGAACCAAGTGAAGTGGCCTGCAGTCCTCTCAGCGCCTCCCGGGCACCGTGCATGGACCCAGGCTGTCTGGGGGGCAGGGGGACCCACCTCCTTCCGGCCACGGCACCATCGTTCTTGCCCAGTGGCTTGTCCAGCTCTACGCCGCACCAATCCCCCTTGGCGAAGTCCGTCTCCCCGAGGAAGCGCACCACACCGGCCTCCATGCCTCCCACCTGCAGGAGGGATGGAGGGACGTGGGTCAGGCACCCTGGACTGCGCACAGCGCCCCCACCCCCGCAGATGAACATTCTGGCTTCAGAGTCGGGATTTCCTGAAGAAACCCCAAAGGTCAAAGTGCCATTTCCCCCCGCAACCCCTACAGGGTGAGCAGACGCTGCTGCTCAGTGTCCATGCAAGGCAGCGGCATTCACACCCACTCGCTGTCACCGGTGGCCTGGCTGACCACACCCCCGGGAATCTCTGACCCAGGCCAGCCACCTGGTGTGGCGAGGGGATCGCTGCCCCGTGGGTGTGGGAGCGGAGCACTGGCAACCCCACCGCTGGAGAACAATTAAGCCAGAAACCAGCTAAAGGAAAATGACTGTTCTCGTATCTTAGCAGAGTTCGATCTTCCAGTTCTCCTTCACTATGCCTTGGCTTGACGCTTGGCTCCCGGGACACAGAGCAAAACAGAATCACAGCGCTGGACACTGACAGGAATGCTGACAAACAGGGCTGGAGCACCGGGGGAAGGGTGCTTTGTGTGCGACCACCCTGTGACGCCCCAAGCAAAAACATCGAAAACCAGAGAAATAGAACCGATTTCCAACTTTGTTCATTGGTTTGTTTTTGAGTCACAGTCAGAGTGCTCAGGGCTTACTCTTGGTTTGGTGCTCACGGATCACTCCGGGATGTGCTTGGGGGACTGTACATGGGACCAAGACTTAAACCCCGGGTCAGAGGCGTGCAAAGCATGACCCCTCCCCACGGCATGACCCCTCCACCCTGTTTTGGCTAAACTGGTAAAACTGGCAGCATCCCCGCACGCATCCATCACGCTGGAAACTGCAGGACCAGGCGTCCCGGCTGCTCGTGCTTCCACCCAAACCGCGAGTCTGGAGGAGCTGATGAACCAGACAGGCGAATGGACAGCCACCCGCGACCAATGCCCTCGGCACTCACCAACACCTGGTCCCCGAGCTTCAGCTCCCGCTCCCCTTTCTTGAGGGAGCCAGCCTCAGAGAGGTTGGAGATGGACTCGCTGGTCGTCCTGGTCAGGCTGCTGATGTGAGGGGTGGCCGGTGCCTCCTTCGCGGGGGACTGGGGCACCTTCGCGGTGCCGGCAAGGGCAGGGGAGGCCGACAGGGGCGGTGTGGCACAGGCGGCAGGCGCTGGCTGCTGGCAGTTGGTCTCATCGTCGGCCTGCAAGCTCCTACTCAGCTTGGACGGCCGGGTGAAGATGCCCTTCAGCGGCTCGCACTGGAAGTAGCGCACACCCGCCACCGAGCCGTCGTTCTTGCCGATGGGCTCGTCCAAGACGATCCCGGCCCACTGACCAGGGGCAAACTGGGTCTCCCCGAGGAACTGGATGAATCCAGGCTTGTTCCCGTTCACCCAGACTCGTTCCCCCACCTGGAAGTCGCCCACAAACTCCTCCTGCATCTCCGAGGAGGGGGCGCTGGGGGTTTTCTCCCCAGGCACGGTCTTCTCAACGGGAGCAGCCGCTGGAACAGCAGAAACGGTCAAAAGGGTCAGAAGGGACAGGAAGGGCCTGTGCAGGTCCAGTTAAAGTGTGGTTGGGGGAGAGGGACACCCAGCAGTGCTCGTGGCTACTCCCAGCCAATGACGGGGGCTGCTTGTGGCGAAGCCTGGCCGGGCCAGCCGTGAAGCGGACGTGCTCACCTACCGCAGCATCCCAGGCCGCAGTCATACTTTGGGCAGCTCAGGGGAAATCTTTGGATACACCCCGTGATACTACGGACCAAGCCAGGTGAAAGCTCGAACCCAGTGTCTTATTTCTGCTGTGTCCACTGGCCCATCTTCTTTTTCTTTTGGGCGGGGAGCAACACAGCCAATGCTCAGGGCCTATTTCTGGTTCTCCGTTCAGGGTTACTCATGGTGAGGTTGAGGGTGGAGAGTCACATGGGGTGCCAGTTGCCCTCCCCACTGTACTGTGGCTTTGGCCGGCAATGAGGCCCTCTAGTCCAGGTGAGTCCACCTCCCTAAGCCTGTCCCCAAGCCCGGGCAAGGGAGCTAGCAGTTAGAAGGGAGCGGGTTGGTCGCCTCAGCTGTCACCGGTTGCCGTGACAGTAAACTCACAGAACGTGACACTCGTGTGTGAGAGCTGTCCCCAGAGCCACGGACGTGTCTACAGCTCAGGGAGCCCTTCCCTGGCGAGGACTCGGGATGGGGTTCCCGGGTGGGAATGAGTCTCCGTTGGCCTGGGCTGAGCGCACTTACCGGCCGAGGGTGCCTTCAGGGCCCAGCTCCCATGCTTGAGGATCTTGGTGGGGGCCTTCAGCCCGCTGGGCCTCAGCAGACTCATGGTCAGGCGGTCAGACGCTGCCGCGGCCACTACCAGGCCCCGACCATCGAGCCCACTGTGGGGCCTTCTGAGGCACACTCGTTCTCAGGACTAAATCTCTGAAGAGCAGAGGAGAGAGTCTGTCTCAGGCGAGCGACCACAGCAGCTTCCGGAGCCCAGAGAGCTGCCAGTCTGGCACTCGCCACCCCGAGTGCGACCCCCAGTCTCCCGCACAGCCCCCTGAGCCCACCAAGTGTCATTCCTGCGCAAAAACTCAATCCAAAACAGACAAACAAACAACTGCCGATTCGGGGCCAGAAAGCAGAGGGGACAGGTACTAGCCCTGCGGGCAGCTGACCCTTGCGCCCTCCCTGCCATCACTCCCACCACCAAACACATTCAGGAGCCAGAAATCATCCCTGAGCACCGCGACTGTCACTGACCACCTCCCCGTCCAGACACTGACGAGCCGGCAGGCGACACAGCAGTGATGGCTGGTCTTGTGTGTGCGTGTGTGCGTATGTACATGTGTGAGAGGCCCGGGGTTACACGTAGAAGCTAAGGCAAGCAACAGGCACACTTTTTTCTATGGGCTGAGAACTGCAAGGGAAAAGGGCCCAGCAAGACTGCGCCATGGGGGGCTGGAGAGCGATAGCACAGTGGGAAGGGCATTTGCCGTGCACGCGACCGACCCAGGTTCGATTCCCAGCATCCCATATGGTCCTCTAAGCACTGCCAGGACTGATTCCGGAATCCAGACCCAGGAGTAAACACTGTGCATCACCAGGTGTGAACCAAAAAGAAAAAAAAAATTGTGCCAAAGGGGAACGAAGGAGTTTTCGGCATTTCCTTCATTCCTTGTGACGCTGCCCAGGTTGGATAACCACAAGCCAGTATTAACTCCATTTCTTAACCCACAGAACTGAGGCAGACAGGTAGATGGGGAAAGCGTCCCCATGGCGATGGAACGCCGAGAAAGTCAACAAAAGCTTCATGGCCACCAAAAGACTACCTGAGTGCACGGGACCCAAGATCTTGTCAAAATTAACCCACATTATGAGGCCCAGAGCAGGCTGGACCCCCTGAGGGAATAGGAACAAAGGGCAGGAAAGGAATTTCTAAGAGGACCATGGACCACTCAACTCTACCCCGTTGGCAACCACCCTAGCAACGGACTCTAGGTAGCTAGAAACTCCCACCAGGGGCAGCCTGGGGAAATCCCTAGATAAGCCACCTTGAACCAAGGGAGGGCGCTCATGTGTGCCCGAGCCCAGGTACTGCTCTTGCCTATGAGGTCCATCATGTCACGGGCTTCTCCCCTCCTGAGGTGTGGACTTTCAGACCGAATGCAACCTAGCAACATAACATGTTCAGTGGCTTTCCGCACCTCTGGAGAAGCCGCACTCTCTCTCGAGCGTGTTACTCCCTCCCTCCTTCCCCTTCCTAAAGGCCTCCAAATAAAATGTTTCTGCTTCATGCTCATCTCCTGAAATGCTTTTCTGCGAGGAGGACAAAGACCCGGGGGCATGAGGAGGTCGAGGATCGACTCCCTTTCCCTGAAAAGGGCAACCCCTCACTCCGGCCCAAGACCCCGGGAAGGCCTAGTGGGCGTCGTGGGGCTGGCGGGGCTCATCGCACTCAGCAGTGCCAGCGCTCCAGCCAGTCTCGGGGGAGTGATATATTCTCCTCTACTTCTCATCAGCCCCCCATGAGGGCCCACTGACTTCAGAGTCATTCCATATTTCAATAGAGAAGTCCGCAAGGGGCAGAGAGGCAGGACAGTGGGGAGGGCACTTGCCTTATATCCAGTTGTCCTGGGCTCGATCTCCGTCAGCACAGGGACGTTAGCCGGCCAGGGTCACCCCTGGGCACAGCCAGGTATGGCCACCCCACCCCACCCCGCCCCCACCCCACCCAAAAATATATATATATAACTAGTAAAAAAACTTAAACTAACTAAACATTAAAAACTATCATACACTAAAGAACTGTTAGAGAAAAAAGCCGCCCCCACGCGGGCAGAAAGCCCAGAGACTCAGATTCACCTGTGTCACACTGCACTCGCAGCTTCAGTACTGAGCTCTGCCAAACAGGCTCGTGCCAGTCTCGTGGAGAGACTGAAAATGGCAGTTGGAGTCTAGAATGTTCTGAGGTAGAAGTAGAATTCAGCAAGGAGGAGGGCATCATGGGCCATTCTTAAAGGGGCAGGCGCCACCCTTCGTGATGTCAGTGTCTGGCTGAGGCTCCGGAGGGCTGCCCTTGCAGACGTCAGCACTACATGGTCAATGAGCCTCTGGTCCCTGCGGGGCCCAGTTCTGGATCCCCGGGCCCTGTGAAAGTGGTTTCAGAAAACTTTTGACAAATGTTTGTCAGTTACAGATCTCCAACTGAGGTCATTCAGCATCCCCCGAGTGGGACCTGGACCCAGTGACCCTGCCCAAGGCACTCCTCAGGAGCCGGGCCAGGAAATCTGTGAGCCGGGGGGGGGGGGTGCTGGCGGGGGGGCAGAGCGACAGGGCAGAGGCCCTGAGCTCGACCCTGACAGCCCTGCTCTCTGTGTCCCCAGTGCTGTGAGCAACACCGGCCGCACCATGGCCAGGGAGTGGCCCAGCCCACTAAGGCCTGAGAGCTGTACAGAGGAGTATGGCCTGGCCTGCTCCGGATGGGAGCACAAGCTGAATAAGTGCGGGTCCCCTCGAGGATAAGTGAGCGGGAACTGGGGAGTGGGGGGGAGGTGGGGAGGGCGGAGTGACCTAACCTGGGGGCTGAGGACGGGACATCTGACGGTGCTCAGGGCTGACTCTGATCCAGTCAAGGGAGCTCATCCTGGCAGGACCTGGGTGGGGAGGGACGTACAGGGTGGGGTGGGGTCAGCCACAGGCAAGGCAGGCTCCTTGGCCCTGGGCTACCCTTCCAGGCAAGGATACCTATTTTCTTTCTTTCCTTTTGTTTTTTGGGACACTCGGCAGTGCTCAGGGTTACTCCTGGGTCTGCACTCGGGAATCACTCCTGGCGGTGCTCAGGGGACCTATGGGGTCAGCCATGCACCAGGCAAGCGCCAAGTCTTCATGTCAAGGTGCCCACGAAACACAGTGTGCAACAAAGGGACTCTGCAGAGAACGCCAGGGCCAGCAAACGCTACTTGGAAATCAATCAATTCTGAAAAAACACAAAAAGATGCAAAAGGAGGGGCTGGAGTGAGAGCACAGTGGGGAGGGGTTTGCCTTGCTCACGGCTGACCAAGATTCGATCACCAGTCCTGAGCACTGCCAGGAGGAATTCCTGAGTGCCACGTCCGGCGCTGCGGGGCAGAGCCAGGGGAGGGCCGTCAGGGTGAAATCAGCACTCGAGTCACACAGGTTTCGTCACTCAGGAGATGGCATGAATGCATGCGTTTATTCAGAGCATAAGTACAGACTTAAGTATGTTTCCACAGCCCACCCAAAAGAAGGAAAGGGGATGGGACGTGGGAAAGTGGATGGGACAATGAGCAGAGCCATGCACTGTTGGTCAGCCACCTGGTGACCCTTTCGGCATAATGCTATTGGTCAGAACGACCTGCTTTGATATAGCTTTGACATATCTGCAAAGATTGTGCTGTTCCTCATACATCATTTACAAATCATTTACGAGGGTGCATTTTCCCCAAACTGAAACCTCCTGTACTGGGAAGTTGCCCAGCTTTGAGCAGGACAAAGGGGGAATGAAAAATCAAGCATTCTTTTACTTGGTCAGTAGGCAACATTGAGCATCACTGAGTGTGACCCAAAAAGCCAAAAAAAAAAAAAAGAGAGAGAAAAAAACAGCGCAAAAGAAAATGTGTTTGAGCCTCACTGTCTCCCTGAGACTTGAGCACTCAATGCTGTGTGTGAGCCTAGTAGAGTCTCCGGCCTGAACAAGCCCCCACCTCCCCACCCACATGCTCCTGTGTTTGGACCCTGACCCTAAATCCTGTGATGGGACCACGTGTGTCCATGAAAAATACGCTAGCAGGCTCACGCCCTGGAACGTCCCTGCTTCACACAGGCGTGGCACACGGGTCCTGGCCTGCTAGCGGCCGGCAGTGATTCGGCAGGAAGCAGAAGTGTGAGCCTGAACGTGGGTCAAGTCCGTTCCTTCAGCTTGGAGGGGAGGAATGTACGAGAGGGGGTTTTGAGCACTGACTCACAAGCAGGAGGTCCTGAATCCAAGCCCCCGGGGTCAACCGTGCACCTGGCACAAAGCCGGCACAAACCCGTCAGCTCTGCTGTCCCAGCACCACGCAGGAAGGGGGGTGACCCCAGGGGGAGGGCCACCGAGAGAGGAGGGGGACACCACAGAAAGGAGTGAACACAGGGCAGGAGTTGAGGGCTGCAGGGCCGGGAGCACCAGGCAGAGAGCAGCCCTGGGGAGCAGGAGGACACGCAGGCGCCCTTGTCACTGGCCACTCGAGTCAGTCGCACAAGCCGTGTGCAGACCCAGGAGGCTGACAGGGCACCAGGGACGGGGAAAACCCAGCAAGGATTTTTCTTTAAGTTTTGGGCCTTGGGGCCAGAAGTCTAGTACAGCGGGGAGGGCATTTGCCTTGCACACAACTGACCCGGGTTCAATCCCGGCATCCCATAGGGACCCCCGAGCACCTCCAGGAGTAAGTCCTGAGTGCAGAGCCAGGAGTGACCCTGGAGCACGTCCAGGTGTGACCCAGAAACAAAATAACAGCAGAGCAAGCCGAAGGGCATGGAAGCTCCAAGCCACGGAAACGCCGAGGTTGGTGCCCACTCGCCCCCGCCCCCCGCCAGGCCAGGCCTGCCTGCGATCAAGGTGCCCGAGTGTCTCCAGACAGGATCTGCCTCAGCAGCTCGGTGCGTTATCTCAGCCTATCACCCAGCTCGACTGGGATTGACTCTGGTTATCTCCTTGACTGGTTATCTTGGGCATCTCAGGGGCCAGCCGCCAATCTCCGTCCTCCCACCTGGCCAGGGCGGGATCAGGTGTCAGCAGCTGGGCCCTGAACACCCCACCTGCCCGTCCAAACACAACGC